TTCCCTTTGTGCATATCAGCAAAAGATTCACAAGACCATTCTTAGCATTACCTCATAGACTCTGTTTACACCTGGACACAAGTCTCTTTTGTCCACTTTCGACCACTTCTGTCCTGATTTCTTCAAGGGGATGATCTATGGGCGGGTAAATGTATTGGCTTTTTCAGATCTTTCGATTTAATGGATTATATAAGCTCACGCAATTTACATATGAATGCGACTGGAAACGACGGAAAAAAAATGCAGAGAGCAGCAGCTTTCGTTTCTGCTCTGACAGCCGCAAGACCAGGCGAACGCTGTGAGTGTGTGTCAGAAATCAGGAATGGTGAGAGAACATTGTGCTTGGTATGTTTTTTAGACTTAAAACCACACTTAGGTCTTCAGCCGATAAAGTTTCAATCCTGTCTGGCTAGTGCGCATCTCATTATGTTTATGCGTTAGGTCAGTAGGCGGAGCCGGAGAGTAGGCGGTCTTTTGTGGCTGTTCGAACACATTCGACCACATGACCATTTACACTACGAAAGCAATCCGGTCAAATGCGTTTTTCGACTACCTCTGGAAAAGGTCAAAAGTGGACAAGCTCAAAACGCATTAGACCCTGTTTAAACTATTGTAAACTAAATTTAGCATCATCTACTTGTGATCCGATCAACCAAAACGCATCTTAATACCAGGTGTAAACAGGGCTATAGATTAGACAATGAGGTGACATCACTTCACTATAAAATATTCACACCAGTACTTTAGCGAGATGTGGTTAACACCTGCTTTTAATTATCAAACATTTACAAAATTATATTTTAGTAGCAAGAAAACACTAACATCTGAGAGAAAGTAAAGAGACAGAACTCTAACGTCGACAGAAATCTGAAAGGAATATGATATGATATTGGTGGTCAAATTGATCTACTTGTGAATATGGATCTTGTAAACCAGTACATCTGCTATCTCCAGCGGCAGCTGGGGTGAGTCATGCTCCAGTAGCCCCTCACAATGGTGAGCAGATTTAGCAGCGCTCCAGCAGGAACACATTCATCTCACGTCCTCCTGCACGACAATGGCCTCATCATTGGCCACATCAGTCTATTGATGCGTGCCTGCAACCTTCAGAGCCCATCAAACCTGCCAAGAGAATATATGGCTTTTCACAAATCTTTTCCAAACACACTGTCTCTCTCTCTCTATCATAGCAGAAGTAAAAAAATAAATCCGTTAAAATATTTTAGAATTTCAGAATTTAGAAATAAAATTTCAGGTGGATGTCTTTGTTCATTAACAGCATCATAATTAAGGCTTTATTTAATTAGGTTTATTTAATAGGGACCATGCATATTAATGAACATTGTTGTATAAAAATACACCATGTAAAATAAATATGCCAGAATTAGTAAAAATAACTACTTTTCATCTGCACCTGCACTTACAGTTGTAAGTGCGGAGGCCAGCTAGTATAGAGCTGTGCAAGTAAACCCCCTGGCCTCAAGAGGCGCGCGAGAGGCTGCAGTCTTTAGCGTCCTTGTTAGCGCTCCCGCCTCCCACAGCAGTGACATTGGTTTGAATCCTGCTCTGAGCTGGTGCGAGTAGGACCAGATACATTGGTGCCGTGACCCAGGTGCGAGTAAGCTTTAGGGGGGTGAGTGTAACGGAGGCCAGCTATTAAAGAGCTGTGCAAGTAAACCTCACTTCCCTGGCCTCAAAAGGCACACTAGCATCTATAACATCTTTGTTAGCGCGCCCGCCTCCATAGTTGGTGACTCTGGTTCGAATCCCGCCCGGAGCGGGTGCGAGTAGGACCACTTACATAAGTAACGAGTTTCAGGAGTGAACACATTAACTTCCAAATGTCTCAATGGATTGGTTACAATATAGGCCTTTATTAGACTGGAATTGTTCAGAGCCAAATGCTTGGACATGCATTATCAGTAAATCTATTAAAGGTGCTATATGGAACTTTTCTTCTAAAATTAATCCTTTTTTTATTGCCTGTGTGTGAAGGGGTTGTAATCACACATTACAATGATCCACTTGTCGGGTTTTGCTCTTACCTCTGAAGGCCAATATTCATATTTATATGTGAAGTCTCCGGGTCGGATTTACCGCGAAATCCATCGGATGTGACGTGCATGCGCGCTCCCAAGCCTCTCTCCTTTTATATACAGTCTATGCGACCGACGGCACTGCAGCTGACGACATGGAGTCTGATAACACCCCAAAACGACCTGCCTCCAGCACAACACACACTCCAACACTAACTCCACATAAATATAAAAAAAAAAAACAAAGTTTTATCTGCTGAAGCTCGTCAGGCCAAACGTGATTCTGATCGACTCAGGACGAAAACACGGATCAACATCGGCAGAGCTTTTGAATTATTAGTAAACTCAAATGAAATAGCAAGGTAAACTACATGAGACATGGAATGAATACAAAAGACTGTTCCAGGATAAGAAAAGGTGCTTTAGGATACTTGTTTTATGTACTAGATCTACGTTATAGATCGTTACGCTATAACGTAATTCATCCCACTATCATATTGTTTATAATAAACATTTCCAGACACGTTCAGTACAGTAATGTTACTTCCTACTGTCTTACTGTTACACTGACATTGTTCAGTCTAGTTCACTAACCGTTTTCGTTATCATTATTATACATTCACCTATGTTGACATTGTTGATTGTGAAAGATACACGAATAGTTAGTGAAATGCCGTAGGCTATGCTAGATAACATCACATGTCGGCTAAATGCAGTCAATGTAACGTTATCATGGTACGAGCATGGAGCATTAGTTCAACGTCAAGCTGATAAAAGTAGCCTATTATTGTAACGTTGCAGTGGGAGTTTACATGAGTTTCCAGCATGTTGTGTGATGCTTTCGCCGTTGCGTTGAAAGTCTCCGTGTGGCCGGTAGTGAATGCTCGCTCCTGAAATCGCACACGCACACGAGCACGAGCGCTCTTGTTGCAATCTGAAACATTACCACTAGAGGCCGCTAAAAGTTCCATAGAGCACCTTTAAGAAAGAAAAGTTGTTTTTCCTACACACAGAAATTAGATTAACGGAAGTTCCTAAACCTACTTTCGGGAGGAGTGAACCAATCTAATCTTTCAATTGACCCTTCGCTAAGCCACACCCGAAAACTGCCACTGGCCAATCGTGTCTTAGCAACCGTAACAACCGGAGGTCTGGCAAGCTTTCGAGCGAGGGAAACATGCCGAAGCGTTGTGCGTTTGGATTGTGCAAATCTGATACCCGGTATCCTAAAAAAGTTTGGACGGGGGAGTGGAATTTTTTTCCTTACCGAAAATCTAAAAGCCGAGGGGAGAAATGCCGGGCGTGGATCAAGCAGTGTGTGAGACCCCATTCACAACTACATGTCCACAGGATTAACAAAAACACCTATTGCTTGGAAGTTGGAAATAATGACGGTTCTTTGTTCATAATGCATATATTTTAACGTAAAATAAGACGATTAAAGACAAGATGGAGGCTCACTGACATACTTTAACATATATTTCAGCATTTTGTTAAACGACAGCCTACTACCCCTGACTGAGTAACGTTAAATTTAACCCAATCCCGGTGTTATTCCACAAGATTTATTTCCTGTTTGATTTATAATTATTAGATTATTTTCACATCACTTACCCTGCTGTGCACGAACATAGCTGTTCCTCAATTTGTGTGTTTCCCATTTGAATGGTCAGCGTATATGAGGCCTTGCGCTGGGACTATAGGCTATAAAATATATAAATTTTTATGAAATTATTCTCTAATCGGTTGCATATTATGTCGTGGATATATCCCTCGAATGCATACTGCAGTCCCTTTTGTCTTGCTCTCTCAGATATTTCACGTTCGCCAAAAATTACGAATTATCTCATTGGGAATGTCTGACACCGGTGCATACACACTGTAATAGACGTGCCAGGCACGAAAGCTTGACAGGCGTAGCAACAGTAACTAGGGAGGGCGGGGCTTAGCGAAGGGTCAATTGACTGCTGGAGCATATAAACAGTAGCTCACCTTGCTCCAGCGTGAGCTGTTCTGGCATCCCTCCACCTCCCCAACTCCACCAACATAATTTAGGCATCTTGCTTCCAGACTCATCTTCCAAGCAATAGTAATCCCACTGTGGGGTATGTCTAGCTCGAGTTGAAGCATGCTTCCTCAAGCCCCTCCACTGTTGACAGCAAGCCAAATACGTTTAACCTTAATAGCTTATAGATTATATGGGCAAACAAACTCGTGAAATGGAAAGTAAATGGAATATATAAATCTCCTGCTTCGCGGATGTTTCTCCTGCCAAAACATCCAACCTGATCTCACGGGAAAACATAACTATATTACAAGCTGATGACTTTGTAAGAATTTGTACAATGTGAATCATACAAAAATGTACAATTATTTAAAAAAACCTATGGAGCAATAAGCATAAGGCCCACCCCTAAAAATACCCGTCCCTGGGGCGTAAGCAGATCATAAACATATTAATGAGATCGTACAAATTCTTACGAATAAGCCACCAATTTGCCAAAATGTAAAATAGTTAGAAATTCCCATGAGTTTCAGAAGAGATCCCAAAAATGTCTCAAACTGTGTTCGGATTTGTCAAAGATTAATCTGCAATCAATTGTCAGAGATCTCAACCATTTCTCATCAAATTCTTCCATGACCTATTATCTGAACTATACTATCCAATTTTTTTAAGGCTCTAGACTCTTTCTGTGTTTCATTTGTGTCCTTTTTTCATTTTCATTTTTGGAGAAACATCATGGAGCAAACTTAAAGCTTAAATGAAACACTACTGAACTGCAAGAAGTATCTCGTGATATGCAAGAATGCCTGAGCAATGTTTCATAATGCATGTTTTTTTTTCATTTTAAACTTTGCTGTCCTTCTTTCCCAATAGGTAAACTTCTTATACATTCGCAGCGATCTGACATTTTATGATGGAGATGTTCTGAATGACGGTTATTATGATGATTATCTGGTCGTGAGTCCAGTGTGTGGGCTAAGATGCTTTCACCAACAGAAGCCACTTCACTTTGGATGAGATAATTGTGTTAAAAGCAGCCACACATATCCAAATCGCTCAGTGCAGAACTGTCCAACCATGTCTGGAGACAGCTGCATTCACCTCTGGTAAGAGCTACACTCTATTTCCACCATAGATCCACTAGATTTGATATCTTTCCAGGAATCCATCATTTTGTTCATTCACTCTTCATATACTGTTATCTGGCAAAACATTGATCATCTTCACCATCACTGTGTGTTTGCACTAAACTTGTATTAATGTCAGTCAGAACTGTATTTTGCTAGCTGATAGACACTAGAATAATTGATTGTTCTGAACGGGGTCAAGTGTCTTTTTTAATTGTTTCCCAGAAGTTTTTTTGTATTATTATTATTGTTCAGATGTTGCTCTTAGATAGCTGGATAATAGAATGGAAACCTTAATTGAAGTTTATCTCAGATGTTTCTCCTAATATTTATTTGGAGAAATGCAAATAGTTTAGATATATCCAAATTAATTGACATATTTGGTCTTGAAGAAATATCTTGAGAAATGTTTGAGGCCATTTCTGAATACATTTTGCGATATTGTTGAGATTTCTTCTGAATCTAGAGGAGATATGAGCGATTAATGGTCTTTTTCTCAAATTCTCAGAAGCAGGGAACTTCAGCAAAAGTCTCAAATTGCTCTCTATTTAATCACAATTTTATCTTGCTGAAACTAATGAGATATTAAAGATCTCATTTATGTTTTCTTTACTATGGCTTTACATTGATCTTTCCATGTTAACCTTTTTTCAATCTTTTTATCCTACACTGTTCTTTGTCTGAATATTTATTGTCTGTATTCCAACCACATAAATCCAGATCATTATTAATTGATTTTTTGTTTGTTTGTTTTTGTGTGATTTCACAACCTCTAGAAGTTGCATTTGAAAATGATTGAAATGGTTAGAAGCAATGAAATCGTAACTGTAGTGATATGAACGAACCCCTATGCCTAACTTTTGTGATACAGACATAAATGATATCTCAAATCATTTGGCTTAATGACGAGAGGTGTGTACAAATTTTTGTAAGATTAAAAAAATGCAACCACATAGTGCATGCTAAAACCCCCTCAGAACAACTTCGCAGCTACTGACTTTCAGACAAGTGCCATATTTTTTTTCAGTTGTTTTAGTTATTTTGTTCTCAATTGTTTTTTATTTATTTATGTACATTTAGAATTATTTTCTCAATAAAAATGTCCTACACTCTCAAAAAGAATTCTAGGTTGTTGCAACCCATGTTTGAGTCATGGACAAACCCAACCAACCCAATTTTAAACCCAATGGTTGGGTTTGTTCATATTTGACCCAAACCCAGCATTCTTTTTTAGAATGTAGGATAAAAAGAGCATTTAACTTTACATATTGGAAGATCACAAAAAGTCAAATCTGTACTTTGATGAGTAAATTAACCTTGGGCAGCCCATCAGTGGTGGGGGATTTGATGAATTTGACATACTTGTCATCCCGAGGGAAAGCCATTTGAATCAACACCTGCCTCACAACAGCCCAGACTCAGGCATTGTGATTGTTTCCATACACACTTGTGTAAATACACTGGATCTCCAGCTGTGATGAGCTGATTGTGGAAAGAAGCAAAAAAAAAAAAAAATGAGACGAATATGAAGAGACAGCTGTGTGTCTTCTGTTGTTGAAGCTAATAGTATACACAAATGATGCGTGATGAGTCAAGGATCAAATTTTTCCCTTTTGCATAAATAGCTACTGATTTTTCATAATCAAAATTGCAGTCCATATATTGTTTATTGAAAGTGAAGTATGATTATATATGTATACTGGTCATTCCTGTTATGTAGTTCCTCTGGAATTCTGTAGCTTTATGCTTGCATTGCAATTTAAGGAAATATTTCTATAAAAGGGTAAACTTAACTTATTAACACAGTGGTAAGAAAAATAATAGGATGTAAATAAAAAGCTGAAATTAGATTTTTGATCCAGGATGGAATGGTTAAAAGTGAGACAACCTAACTGACAGTGTTGTCAGTCCGCGGGACTACTTTTTAAATTGTTGCATGTGGGTCGGCCCCCCCCCCACCCCCCCACCCCCGCGGGTTAAATGAAGTGCAATTTCAGCGCTCCAACATCCTAAACCCAACTATAGCCCAAAACCCTACAAACCAAATGATATTTATTATATCAAGAATTAAAAAAAAAATCTGATACATACAGTATATCATACATACATGATAGGGACATAAAAATGTCCTGCATAACAGGAATGAGCTCAATATTGTATCTTCATAACCATGAGCATCTTGCATTAGGCATCTGTCAGCATGGCCTTTTTTCTCATTATGATCTTCATTGTCATGCAAGGAAATGGCAAGCATAAAATGTCAAACAGTGAGTGAATAATGTTCTGAGTGGGATGATGCACCGCAAATCTAAGTAGGGCATATGCCTAAAGCATCAGCACTCAGTCTAATAGATAGTGTGAAATGTATGTTCCTTAGTGCTGTTTAATTACAGACTTTAATTCATCTCCATAACCTGCTTTGAATGGGTCTTGCTGATAATTTCACACATTTGACGATGTAACCTTTGAAATCCTTTTAATTACAGAAGACAAAGGATCACCAATAGATTTATATCATTGATTGATTGCAGAATAGTTAAACACTGCTGGACTGGTTGATGTTTGGTAACCAGTCGGTAGCTCTGTCTTTATGGTCTCACTAACAGCTTGTTATAGCCAATCATCACATTAAGTAGCTTATTATTGGGGCAGCTAAAAGGGGCTGTTTACATGGCACACTAAAAACAAAAGAAATTGAATGGCTTTTCCCCATTCATTTACATGACAACAGCGTTTTGGGGGCCTGAAAATGCAAGCTTTGAAAATGGTTTTTAAAGTGCACGTTTTTGAAAACAATACCGTTATAGTTTCTGTGTAAACTATAAAAAACACATTTGTGAAAATGGTGACGTCATGCGCATGCTTATTACTTGTTCATTTCCGTTTTTAGTACATTGTTGTTGTGTAAACGTACCCTTAGACTGACACTGTGTCTACTGACGAGACCAGTGTCATGTCACGCTGCACCGCAACAGCTAGAAGCTGTCTACACTGGACGCGACACAGCAACCATTGCAAATCCATTTGCAAATCCTTCGAAGTAGCGAGAGTGCTTGGATCACGTCAGAAATAGAAAGAAATAGAAAAGTTTACTGTTGCGAATTTGTCATGTTGCATCATGACGCTGCATCCAGTGTAGACAGAATCACTAATTATAAATAGGTTATATTTGCTTTTGTTGCATCGCATCATGCCGCTTACATCTGATGTAGACCCTGTGTAAGACTAAGTGCAGTTTCCACCTTTTTCAAGGTCTTAATAAATATGATTATTTGTGACCAGAATATAAGTATCCATGAGTGAAGTAGGAATGCAATCTGGACATACTTGATCTGCCATGCCATCAGGACCTACGGCGTTAGCTGCATAATGTTTCCCTGCCATTGACGACTACCTTCCTTTGGCCTCATTGTAAAATAGTAAAGATTGTTCTTCAGAATCTTACTGTTGGGCGAATAGTGTGTATTTAGACATTAGACTACTTATTTGACATAGTTTTTCATATACTAGAAAGCATATTCGGATGGAGGGATAGAGACTTGGAGGTGGGCTAATTTTTTTTTTTTTTTTACCCAGCTGCGACTTGGCATACTCTAGCAACCACCCAGAAAACCCAGAATAACCACATAGCTATAGGCTAAAAACATTCAGAACAACCATATAGCAACACCCTGGCAACCACCTAAAATTAACCATTGTTTTAATTATAGTAACCATAGTTTTTAACCATTATTACCATTTGTATGACCACAGTTTTACAACAAATACCATGCATTGTTAAACTATGGTTAGTGTAGCAAAAAATGAAAGCTTTAGCATAAAGTTCTGCCTGGAAGACTTAATTACTACGTCATTATTACCTTCACATCTATCCAATCATGACCTTATACTCACGTATAAAAGATCGGTACTTACTCATGTTTGAGTTCACAGATACCGGCGCGACAACTACCTCCACCATCCCCACCACCACCAGGATGGTCCCGGCCATAACCCCCGGGGGGTCGGCTGCGCCCCTGCCTTCGCTTCAGGCAGGAAATGCAGATCCGCTACCCTCGGATTATGAACTACGGACAGGGCCTACGCCAAAGAACTATAAATAATTGCTTGCTGGGCTGTCAATAAATTAATGCTTGTTACATCACTATATCTTCCGAGTCTTTCTGGTAGAACCATAGTTAATTTGTAGTTACCATGGTTTAACTATAATAACCATGTTTATTTTATTTGTAGTAAAACCATGGTTCATTTTCTTAAGGAACACCTTAAAGGTTCTCTAAGCGATCCTGGGTGACGTCACTTCTTGTTGACGTTCGAACTATTGTCAAACAAAACGGAGGCTAGCTAGACCCTCCCTCCTCCTCATCCGCACACTAACCCCCCAAACCACACCCCCAAACCCTTCTTGTCGGTCATTGGCTGGAACAGTTTGTTATGTTTCGGGGATCGGGTCGCTGCAGTTTGTTTTTGTTGCTGTTTGTGGAGCCTGGGCTGTCTACAGAGATCGCGTTTCTTTACAGTGTGTTCAGGGGACAGGCAGCCAGCGGATAGTGAGGAGATGTTTGCTGTATGTGGCAAAAAATATTTTGGCCTAAAAAACGCGTGGCATCGCTTAGAGCACCTTTAACATTTTTGTTCTGGCTTGCACAGTACTTTTTGATGGTTAAATCATATTTTTTGATAGTTAAATCATAACCACCATAAAAAGAAACTGGTGATTCATAGATACTGTACATCTCTGCTTGAATAGAAGCACAGAGCAGGTAATGTCTGTCTGGCTCATTGTCTGAATTGGGGGGGCTGGTCTTGGTACAGAGATTCAGTCCAAGTAGGTTGTGGGCCCAGTGCCCACACTAATCATGGGGTCATTATGGCCACTGCTGTGTCTCCGCCTGTGGGTTGGACTGCACCATTTGTAACCCAACAGAGCAGGAAATTTGGCACTTTAGCTGTGGTAACTCAAGCCTGTGAGATCCAGT